GTTCAAATGAACTATGGTCAGTCACAAGCCATTGACTTTAGGCTAATATCATACATAGTGTGTACTATGAGTCTGGAGTGCAGGATACTTGCCGGTTGTAGCACCACATATGGTGTTTGAATGATTGAGTGTTGCTCAACTGAGAGGATTTGGAACTGATTTGGCTAATTTGACCTGGAATATGAAACACTTAAGAAAAAAAAAGTGTGTACTATATATAAGTGCCAAAGTGTTGCTCAAAAGTGTGTTTATGGAGTACCTGTGTTAAAACTTGCAGCAGTTTCAAAAAAAGGTAACATGCATCAATTCTGGATGAGCTAAGTGTATGGGTATTATATGCAAATTGCTACAGTCATGTTTAATTTCAAAGTTATTGTTTTCAAATTTGCTTCTCGCTTCTATGTGCTCAGGGAGAGCAAGGTCTGATAGTAAGCAGAGAGGGAAAGGGCTTCCAGGGGAAAAAGTTTGGGGGAAGTAGGGAGCAACGGGGCGACCTGATACCCCAGATTTATTTTTCCTGCCATAGCAGTGGGAGGTAGACAAATTCAAGACAAGCTTCCAATAAATAGATTTGATACATGGAAAATTACAACAAATTTATAAATTTTTCATATATAGAATCTATTATTGAAGAGTTGTCTTATAATCAGGGTTGTCTTGTATTTAAGTAAATACGGTAATGCTTCTTAATCTTTTCTGCCATGATTGATCTAGCTAGCTAACATTATGCTTTCACAAGTGAAATAACCAGTACATATAATTAAAAGTAGTAAAGTCTTTAGGGAATACCTTTTTCTCATCTTGGGATAAAAAGTAAGGATGTAAGTCTCACATTCCCAACCATTTGAAGCATTCAGAAAGGTCAGGCCAGCACTTAATGTATGAAATGAGCTCTCCACCCAAAAGATAGGAAAGCTACTCTGACCTTCCCTTATACTAACTATAAAACATACCACCTACTTTGGTCATAATACCTGTGAGTTATGAGTTATGATAATCTGAAGACTGTTATGGTTGCTAATACTGGCTTTGTGATTGTCTGAAGGAAGTCCTAGATACTGTTAAAATATAATTTTTCTGTAGTATGATACTGATCCTCCTCAGTTTTGCCTGCATGGGGGGCAAACAGGATGGGGCCTCAGCTTACTCTACACAGGTTTACTGGAAGTTGTTTCAAAGCTCAGGTTTGTTGCACAGCAAAAAAAGTTTAGTGACATATTTAATTCAAGTAATGTAAATAGACTTACTGGCCAAAACACAAACACACTTAAAAAAAATAATTTTGAGTGGGTGGAAAAAATTAGTTTGATCTGAAGTGAAATGTATGTGTTTCATTTTCAAGTTTTCTTATGTCTTTTTACAATGTAGGCAAATTTCTAAACAAAACATTTCAAAATAAATTTTGTCATTTTTTTAAATCTATTTTTTTAAAACTGAAATGGCTTTTTTGGGAAATAAACTATTTGTCTTAAAGTTACCTAACTTTACATAGTGTTCCATAGAGTAGACACGGTCATAGTGTTATAAAGGATATTTAGGGAAAAGAATTAAGGTATAGCAATAAAAACAACTGATACAGATATAACTGTGTTTGCCATAGATTATATCATTTAAACTGTAGCTATTCCTAAACTGATAGAGTTTTAGCGTAGAAAATTTGCATGTTTGTAGGCCAGCCCATAGCCATGGCTGCATCTGTGAAGGCAAGTCAGTCAATAGAGGTGATAAACTTACTGCATATTAAAGAAAGGGGTGGTGTCATCTCTTTGTTCTGCTTGCCATTCCTATTCAATTAAGCTACTTAAATATTGTACATATTAAGCACATGGTTGCAAACCATGGAGGAATGCAAGTTTAATCTCTTTCACGGGGACTGCCAGCCATTCAGCAAGGGATTTATTTGCCCTGTTTTGTCCCACCTGTCCTAGAATTTCTAGAGAGAGGCTAGGTTCCAGCAATTGCATATCCTGGCATAGACAAAGCTTTTTGAAAAAGGTTTATTGGCACTTGTACAGCATCTGGTTCCTGAGCAAATCAGGGAGCTAATAAGATGTATAATTGCCTCCTGCTAAATACTTGGAGGGCTGACTATCCCAAGTGGTATGGAACCTTTTGGTCCCACCATTTTCTTTGTCACAGAAACACATGATTAAAATAATCTCTCCCACATGAAGTTTAAACATTTTTGTATCATTATATTATGTGTTTGAAAGCACTCATTTTAGTAGTTAAGGTTTCAATTTCCATTTGAAATTAACAATACTTTTAGAAGTTCATAATGTTTTCAAAAAATTCTTTCCATGCTTTTAATTACCAGTGGAGTTCTCAGAAAATTTAAGTATAATAATTTAAACTGCTGTTTAATTGGTTGAGTGTCACTTTTGTCAGCATGTGCATTCTGATAATTTTTGAGCCAGAAATATTGTTTTCATATAATTCAAAAGGTTAATCAAGAAACTTCAGAAATGGCATATTCTCTAGGTGATTTGAGAAACCGTCTCTAGAAAGTTTGAAAGTCACCTCAGTAGCTTTCAGGTTAAGTAATATGACAGTGTTTACCATGTGTGATGTTTAGTGCTCAGTTTTAAAATGTGTTTTAAGTAGTCTGTTACTTTATACAACTTTTAAAACAATTTGTTCAGCCTAAGACAACCTAAAGTCACTGAGCCAGGGAGTCTAACTCAGGAAAGCAATTAATGTTACCTTATGCATTAAATAGTCAAAATTATGTAAGTTATCCCACATCTATTCATTTTCTTTAAAAAATTATACCTAAATTATCATATCTTCAGTCCCTGGAAAGGATTTCACACTGTTTTCTTTCTCAGAGATGTTTCCTTTTAAGCCCCTATTATTGTGTTAGGGTTTTTTCCTAAAACAGTTATGACACACTTATACCCACTTAGGCTAGGGACAGAAGTTATACATAAACTTGTTTAAGTCAGGGGTTTTCAACCTTTTTAAATAAGTGTATCCCCAGTGGCCCCCTTTTTAGTAAGTTTACCCCCTGGTGGGGGGAAAGGGGTGGTGAGCGGCCAAATGTGGAGCGGGGACGTGTTGCAGCTTCTGTGCAGCCCTGCTCTCACCCTACCCTGGCCCTGATCCTGTGAGGCAGCAGCATGGGGTGGCCATGCTCTGTCCCCACCCACCCTCGCTTATCCCCTGGGAGCTTTCAAAGTACCTTTGGGGTGTACACATACCCCCAGTTGACAACTCCTGGGTTTAAGTGATCAGAAAACAGTTCAAATCTGTAACACAACAGAAGTTCAGAGCACTTAAACTGCTTTCAAAATGGCAGAAACTGGTTTAAGATAAACCTGGTTGGATGTAGTCGAGGCCTGCCTGGTGTATCAGACTGAACTGATTTAGGTCAAACTGGTTTATGGAACTTCTGTCCCAGACCCCTTCCTGGTTTAAGTTAGCTCACAGTCCCCCAGCATCCCAAGTTGTACATAAATGGCATCCCCTCCCTCTCCCACCTCAATGTGCCAGCCCTGAGTCAGACAGGCACCCCGCTCAAGTGGGAGGGGCAAAAGCCTGGCAGGTATTGCTTCCCCTCCCCACCCCCTGTGCCGTAAGAGGGGGGTAGGGACGCAGAAGTCTGGTAGTGCCCCCCCCCCCACCAGGTAGGCTTGTACTGGAGTCCTGTGTGGGCCAGGGAGGGGTTTTAAACCCCCTTCCTCCTGCCTTGGCCAGGAGCAGGGAGCTTGGATAAGCCTGGCAGGGGCACCCCCATGCCCCCTAGGCAGACCCAGGCTGGGGTCCCATGTAGGCCAGGGAGGAGGTTTAAAGTCCCTTGCCCTGCCTCAGTGGGCTGGCCTTAGGTTGGAGCCTGGCCACACCCTCCCTCCCTCCCTCCTTGAGCAGGGAGTAGGGGAAAAGCCTTGGAGGGCTTCTCTCCCAGCTTCCCTCCCTTCCCTTTGGTGGTGGCTGGCAGGCTGGGAGCTGTGCTCTAGCACTCTCCACCTTCTCGCCTCAGCCACTGTGAGTATGTGGCTGAATTTCCAGAATCAAAAGTGAATGTCTGTTCACTTGCTTCTTGGTTCAATCTACGCAGTTTAGACTAACCTGCAAAGATTGAATCAATTCAGCCACAGGCTTTTTCTCTGTCTGTATTTAACCTTAAAGCTCTGGCTGGAAACAGCCACAGCTCATTGCTTTCAAATAGAACCCTTGAAGTGTTTGGAAAGGACAAGAAGATATAATTGTATCTCTCTTGTTACTTGGAGCTTCTTGGTTTTGAGAGAGAATTGCCTGAAATGAAAAATATTCCAGTTAAAAATTGTTTTGCTTGAATAAAGTTCTTAAACGAAACAGATTTAGGTTATGTTAATTCTTTGCACATTTTATTTTTAAGAACATTAAGTTGGAAATGCATTCTATTTTATGCAATTGCAATATGATACATATGTTTACCAAAATGTTTAATTTCTGCCACTCCTTGTTTTTTGTTCTATTTGTGGTTAAAGGATGGTGTTGTGTCACTGAAAAAATGTAGTTTTTTGTTTCTGTTTGTGGTAATCAAAGAATCCCAACAGCATGGAGGAAAAAAAGGGAGCCTAATAAAAGAAAAGGGGGTGGAGAGGCAGATTACAGAGAAGCTAGAGCTGAGTATGTCATTTGAGAATGAGAGAGAAGACTGGCTGAGTAAATTAAACTGGGCACTATGTAAAAGTAGTCCTATAGGACTGGGGAATATGGGAATGACTTAATCTCCTGTACTGCAGCTTGCTTGTCTCTAGTCACACTTGTATATAAACCATGATGAATGGTTTTGCAGGCAGATCACTCTAAAAGGAAATAAATTATACAACATACTGCACTGAACAGCTGTCCTATGTATTCACATTTTTTGGCCGCACTTTATTTTTAGTCAAGCCCAAAACAAGAGAAGATTAGACATTAGGAAAGTCAACTTTTTATTCTTCTCCTTCCTGTTTATTTGTATGTATAAGAATGAAACAAAGATCTTATATACAAGTAATCTGTTTGCTACTTAGGGTTCCAGATGAATGCATCTTCTTGGCCAATGTTTCTCTTAAGAACACTAAATGGAGCTGAAATGGCACCTGCAATGTTCTTTAAGAAGGTAAGAAGAAAGGGGCTCCTAGTAAGCAAGCTTCCGTCAACTGGTCCATGATTACAGTTTTTATTGAGGATGCCAGGATATTGTACTGTTCTCCCGAGCATGGAAAGGCAAGAATGTTATTTAAAATTTCTTTGAACGGATTGGCAAGCCACAAAACTGGACAGGAAATGATCATCTTCTAGTACAAATGGATGGGCATCTCTTTTCCTGTGTTTGGACCTTTAAGGTATGCTGTATTACTTAGAAAAAGTTGACTTAGCTTGGTATTTATTTAATGGATTTAAGACGTGCATCTTATTTCTTGTACTCATAGTGTGCCTGTATATGTGTTACAGTAAGTTTGTAATAGAGAATGAGAAGCTTCAGAACACATATAAGAGTGGTTGGAAAGTCCGTATTGAAAGTTTTTAGTTGATGCATGATGGACAGTTGAACTCTAGTGGGAAAGCAGGTGAAAGTCATAAACAGGAACGCCATCAATTTTAGAAGTAGAACTTTAGCTTGAGTAAAATGGTATGAAATATGCACAAATGTGTTTTAATGATAACAATACAGTTCAGTCGATCTATTGTTTAATTGGTCTTCATCAGTCTAATTAACTTACTTTAAAATCATCATGACAAGTCAAGTGACTTCATTCTTACTTTTGACAAGAGCTATGCAATTGAGTCAGCAAAACTAACATTGGGTTTGATACTGGAAGCCCTTTCCTAGTAGAATGCCTATTGTTGTAAGAAATGTCTTGATTTGAATGCATTCATAATGTACCTACACCACGAGCAGTGACAATTTAAACTTTACTATATTAGCCTATCAGTTTGTCTCAGTGCTGGACTGGAGGGTCTGCGTTGTAAGGATTGAAACAGTATTTGGTTTCTATTCAGTTCTTTGGCTTCTGATGAGATTAGCAATGAAGACACTTTTTAGATTTTTGTGTTGGTGATTTCTCTTTTGTCTCCTTGGAATTCACTCAAGACACAGGTCACACAGGCATGTATAAAGCCTTCAAATGATAATTTTTTTTATGTGGATCTGTGCTAATAACCAAGAAGAAAATATTCATTAATCCCTTATCAATTCCAGAAATTTCTAGCCTCTGGCAGAAATGCATGCTATCCTCTTATCCTTTTGTGTTGGACTATGTAGAGCTTGATTGCATATTTTTAGAGTCTTCACTCTCCTGCAGAATACAGCAGAATTTTTCTGCTTGTTGCTTAAGTAGATACTTTAAACATAACCTTGCTCATAGTCAAAGTCAATGGCAAAGCACTCAATCACGTCAGTGGGAGCAGAATCAAGCCTCAAAGATATAAGGAATCGTTACAAGTGTTTGTTTTTCTATGTATATTGCGTGATATTTTTAGGTTAGTTGGTAGAAAAATATTACGAATAGGTTTCTTTAAAGAGTTCATATAAACATGAATGTTCTGTTACTCTTATTTTGATAGGAACCACCAAAACCTGTTCCAAACTCTTTTAAAGTTGGAATGAAACTGGAAGCAGTAGATAGAAAGAACCCTTACTTAATTTGCCCAGCAACCATTGGAGATGTTAAAGGAGATGAAGTTTTTATTACATTTGATGGCTGGAGAGGAGCATTTGACTATTGGTGCAAATATGATTCTCGAGATATTTTTCCAGTTGGATGGTGTAGCTTGACAGAAGATGCACTACAGCCACCAGGGAACAATGGTAAGACCACTAGTAATAGTGCGCAGCCTGTCTTCCCAAACTTGCAGCTGGCCTTATACAGAGTTTAACATTTGATTTATAAGCTGTTCATGCAGATAAAATAATTATCACCCTATCCTACCTCCTAATTTTTCTGTTGCTCCTTTACAGTTGTTCTAAACTATCCATGTACACAGAGGTTCTGGAAGCATATATTTTTTAATCCATATGGGCAGTTTCCCTCCCAATACTTTGTTTCTTTTTTTTTTTCTTTGTTACTAATTCTGAACAGAATCCATATTTTAAACGAATAAATATTTTAAACATTCATTAAAACAAATGGGTTTTTTTGCAGTATTCTCAGTTTCTACTGTGACAAGAGATCAGATTATATTCTGTTTTCTGTGTACTTTGTGAGGAACCTTTGATATCAACCAGAATTTTTACTTATATTGTTGGTACTCCTAATAATATTGGAAACCTATATTCATAGAATTTAACAAGAATTCATTTATTTTTCTTCAAATTTGTAGCCATCCAGCACATCAAAGTTGGTATTTATACAAAGGAACTCTTGAGACAAGTAAAAAAACCCTTTTTTAAAGGACAGCAGTACAATAAAGCGCCCTATGATGTTTGAGGTCTTTTAAACTCTACTTACCCTTAGCATTTGTTTTGGACCCAATACTTTCTGTTTTCAAAGTGTGTATTTTTAGGACCTTCTGAGTATTCTGCTACTACGTGCTTATTTAGACACATGAAAGTATAAATATAGAGCCCCCTTGGAACTTATAACCAGTTATATTCTGTTATGTACTCATTGTTCTTCTTGCCAAGATGAGTGAAATGGAAGAAAAATAGCACTGAGTTTGGCCTGTGTTTTCCTAGGGATCTCTTGTCAAGTATCAGAAATCTGAGGTTTTGCTGTCAAACAGTTTGGATTACATCAGCTGCTCCCTTCAGATTTTTTTGAAGTATAATATGCCATATTAACTCAAATCCAAGACAAGCCCCTCATGTTGGATTTGAGTAAAAGTTTGGGGGTGGGGAGGGGGGACAGGCAACTGCTGTGCAGAGGTGGATTAAGACTTATGGGAGCCTTGGGCAAACACAAAATTGGAGCCCCCCCTAATCCCATGGGAACTAGACTCCAGTGCGGGAAGGAGCCCCTTCCCTTCCTGGCGCTGGCGCTGCCCCTGCCAAGGGTGGGGCAGACCTCCATGCCTCCCTGGCGGGGAGGCTGAGTGGACCTGGCTGGGCTGGGGGAGGGTGGAACATGCCCACCTCTCCTCCCTGCTCCATATCCCCCCTGTAGCTGTAGGTCTGGGGTTCTCCCTCCCTACCTTTCCCCCTGCGGCACCTTGACAAGACACCTGTAGCTCCGTGCCATTCCCCACCATGGCCCCAGGTCCCATGCACCACCCTGGCTGGGCATTGCCCCCAACTTCTGTCCCTGCCTCACTCACCTCTTGCTGTGGGGACTTCAGTCTACCCCTTCCCACGCCCCTACCTCTTTCCCCCCATTAGACTTGCCTGTAGGGAGCTGGCTGCCTGGCTATGTTCATGGCCATACACATGCACAGGGGTGGCTCTAGAGGGGACCTGGAGGGGGCTGTAGCCACCTCAAAATTCACTTTATCCCCCCTGTAGCCACCCCTCCTAGCGCTGCTGCCACCAGCTGTCTTCCACACTCCCTCTCGCAGCCTCCTGGCCCAGCTCCCACACCAGGAAGGTGTTCAGTGCTCCTGGCTCAGTCCCTGCACAAGGAAGAGGCTGGCACCACCCCTGTATCTCTTGGCAGCCCCAAGCAAGGCCCCTTGCAGCTAGGAATACTGTCTGCCTGCAAGGGGAAACCCGCCATTTCCCAAGGGAACCCAGGCATCCAGGTGCCCCTGATTGGCTGGGACCCCTGGGCCTGGGCCCCACTGGCCCATGCATTAATCTCCCTATGCTGCTGTATCTCTGATTCCGGTCCTAACATCGGGTCAGAGCTGCAGCTGCTGCCTACCCCTCTCCCGCCATCACTTCCACCCTTTCCGCTGCTTGCCACCTGTAAGTAGTTGGGGAGGTTTGGGGGCAAGGTGTGTGGGGAAGGGGCAAAGAACAGTGATATGGCCACTTTACCCTCCCTTGCCACTGCTTGTCCCCTTGCTGCTTGACTCACTGCAGCGGTGAGGGAGATGAATTTAAGATGACCCTCCAATAGTTAGATTATGTACATGGAAAAATATAACTAATTTATATATTTTTCCATGTATAGAGTCTAATTGTTGTGGGGGTCGGTCATCTTAAACTCAAAGTTGTCTTGGATTTGGGTAAATATGATAAGACATTATTTTTAATATTACTAATAATAATTTGTTCTAATCATAAACATTTTCACTATTAATATTAAGTGGATTAATAAAAAATAGGATTGGTTACACAAAGCATACTTCTTCAGAAAGGCTGGTAGAACAAGAGGGCAAGAGAATTTATTTTTCCCCTTCAAGATTATGTTTAAATCAGTGTAAATACTAAACAGTTGAGCAAAGTTTTGAAAGATTTGTATGAGAGAGAGAATAAAAAATGTTAGTGCAGTTAGACCTGCTGGACAGAGACAGGTGGGGGAAAGAAAGGTAGTCTAGTAAAGGACCTTGCCTAAGAACATGGCATCACGAACATTTTCCCTAAAGTGCGGTAAGCTAGGTTGTTCACTTACAGCATAGTAGATATTTTGTGATAACTTTCATTGAGTAAGTGACCCCATAAGTACTGTGAAGCAGTAGTCTGCTTTAGGATACACCCTGGCTTTCCTTACGGCAATTTGTTCTTATAGCCATACCTGAGACTCCTGCTCTTCCACAAACTTTGTGTAACTTGGACAAGTTACTTGAGACTGTATTTTAAAGGCATTGAGGCTCCTATTGATTTCTAGTAGCTTTTAAAAATCTAGACTAGCTCAGTGCTTCAGTTCTCCATGTGTAAAAGTAAAAGCACTTTCCCTCTTTACAGGAGTACTCCAAGAGCAAAGGTGACAAATACAGATTAGGAATTGGCTTTATGTATGAAAATTCATGTACTTTAATTATGATAAAACAAAGTTTATTTTTATATACTGTACAGAAACAAATGCCACAAAAGCAATCTATAGAAATTTTCTTCAGAAGTGATTTAGAAGCCATCAAGGTATTGTGCTCAGATCAATTACATTTCCTGTAGAAGCAACATTATTCGATGGCTTAGGCTGCCCAAGAGCTGTAATATTGCAAACTGTAATACCAGTTGATGCTTTGAGACAATATGTAACAAACTTTTTGTTGTGAAGGAAGGGTTTTTTTTGTGATACCTTCTATTAGGCCAACAGTGTAGTCAGGAGAGAAGTTTGACAAGCTTTTGGGGACAGACTGCCCAAAATGAGGAAGGTCATAAAAACAATTGCCTCTTGTATATTTTATGGACAATCACAGCTGTAACACACCAATCCTTCTACAAAATTTTCTTTCAGATTTGTTCAAAGAAGTCAGACCTGAGAATTATGTAGGCATATAGTATCATTGTTCATATACTCCCCTTGTTAATTACATTATTCAGGAAATAAAAGCAAAAAATCCGATCTCTTGTTAAACAGCTTTGGCAGCAGATTAGAAAACTGGTATTTGCCAGAGTTGGTAACTTTCATGAAGCCTCTTGGGGGGTTTTTTTTTTGTTTCTTTTTAATCTCACCAAATATAGCAGTTTAAGTATTCCTAAAACTTTTACCACATTTCTGAGATAAAGTGTTTCATTCTTTGATATTTCTGGTCACAAATGAAAATTTCACATATGTGATAAGTGTTGCTTTGGGAAAATCTGGTAAATGACTTCTTTTAATGTATTTGAGAAGCGAGCCCAAACATAGTTGTAGCTGTGCATGAGCATGAGCATTTTGTTTGCTCATGCTCATTTTCCATTTGAACAGGAGCAAGTTTTGGAAAAGCAGGTCAGTGCCTTCATTGTTGCCTTTGGACTTGCTAGTTTGTAATTATTCTGGTTATTTCATTAATAGCATATCACTTCAAGGCCTACTGAGAAAAGAAAAGAAGCAATTCGTGTTTTATTTTTAAAGCTAAGATAGTAAAGATACTTTGTAGTCAATGTATTTCAGTTCTGAAATATTATAAATAACTTCATGATCCCTAATTGACATAGCAGTCACTTCTGGCTCTTGATGCCAGGAATCACATACCTTTTCGTCTGTTAAAGCAGTAATTTATGACAGATTTAATGCAATCCTTCACATGAGGAGGGATTAGAATCTGAGGAAGAGGACCATGCCTGTGCTATAGAGAAAGGAAAAACTAAGACAAAGCTAATCTAACCAAAAGAAAAAAATCCTTCCTGATCCCAAATTCAGTTGTGCATATGACCCTCAACAGAAGAGCAAGATGTTCTTGCCAAGGAATCTTTAGAATTTTTTTGGTACCAGACAAGAGCCTCAGTATGTACACTTACAGTTGAACAATACTCTTAGGTTCCACATTTCCTCAACTTCTGCTTGTCTCTTTATCTCCATCATAATTGCATTATTCTCAGACTGTACAGCTCCTGCTTTCTTTTCTATCCAATGGGTCAGCTTCAAAAGTAAGTAGGAGATAAATCCTGAGAAGATCTGAATCCTTATAATCCAGGTCTTCCACTACCTAGGAAAGTACCCTAATCACCAGGCTGTTGAGTAAAAGGTTTATTGTTCACTGAGCAGTATTCATGATCTTGGCTTCAGATAGTTGCTCTGTGGTTTTTGTCTGAAATCTAGACATTTAGAGATGTTTTCAGGGCAAAATGGATACAGCAGAGCTAATCTAAGTATTGATTTCTTAGAATCGAACTTACTGATTTAGATGTTTATGCTTACTTATGTATCTTAAAGATTGAATAGGATCTGGGCCAAAGACTGTAGGCCAAAAAATGTCTGTTCTAAAGGCCTAATCCAGTGCTATGGGGCATCTGTATGGCAAGATTTCCAGAGACCTAGTTCTGGATAAACCCCTAAAAAAAAAAAG